TGTGAGTGTGTGAGTGTGTGTGTGTGAGTGTGTGAGTGTGTGTGTTTACTCACATTGGCAGAGGGGTTTCGCACCGTCACGCTCGGTGTCGTGGCTCTAAGCGCTCCACTCAAACCATGATAATATTTGAAGCAAACCTTGGTCTCAGCTGCACAAGAGAGAGAAACAGAGGAACAGAATGACATGAAGGTCAAGACATTGTCGACTTGCACACTGATCCACGACTGAGGAGGAAACCCAGCAGAAAATCCCCACATTCTCTCAAACTCAGTGCAGAAATCAGAAGCTGAGTTGGTGTTGTTATATTAATTACATAATCACACCAATTACCCATTATTAGAATTACAAAATAACATATACATTTGATGAATAAATACATTTTCTTCAGTAAAGGTGTGTAGAGCACACAATGAGCGGGTGGCTGTTAAGGTGCTGCTATAGGACATAATGGATAAGATATTTAGAGTGATTTTTAGCATGTTGCTATGTGGTTGCTAGGTGGTGGATAAGGTGTTCTGGGTGCTGCAAGTTGGTCTTCAACAAGTCACACATTTTTTTTTGTGAGAAATGGAAAAGATGCATTAAATTGATCAAAAGTGTCAGTAAAGACATTTATAATGTAACAAAATATTTATATTTCAAATAAATGCTGTTCTTCTGAACTTTCTATTCATCTGTGAATCCTGAAAAATAAAATGTATCAGTTTCCACAAAAATATTGTGCAGCACAACTGTTTTCAACATTGATAATAATCAGAAATGTTTCTTGAGCAGCAAATCAGCATATTAGAATGATTTCTGAAGATCATGTTACACTGAAGACTGGAGTAATGATGCTGAAAATACAGCTGCGCATCACAGAAATACATTACAGTTTAACACATTCACATAGAAAACAGCTGTTTTGTGTGTGTGTGTGTGTGTTTGTGTGAGTGTGTGTGTGTGTGTGTGTGTGTGTGTGTGCGTGAGTGAGTGAGTGTGTCTGTGTGTGTGCAGATGGACTGTGCTCCTCCAGGTGAATTTTCATGGCTGTCTTATTTCCATGCGCTGCTCACACCTGGCTTGATTTCACCTGAATAATGCAGAGCAATTTTTTCCCTAACTGCTCGCATTTGCGCATGTAGTGGCCTCAAAAAGTATTTTTGACACTTAAGCCTCATTCCTAAAATGTTTGAATGATATTGCATTATATGGCAAAATATCAAAGCAAATGTCATTTTTTAAAGATAGCACAAAAATCCATTCATTTAAAAACTGTACCAAAATAATCACAGTTCTTTGTGATTAACTGTGCAATTAATAGCACCTGCTATTAAAATTTGTAATAATACATATTGAATACCATAATTAATGTAGGATATTCATAAAGAGAGTATATTTTAAATAATATTTATTTAATACCATTTTCTTAACCAAGTACTATCAAGGTTAGTATCAGTGATACCCATAAAGATATTGATTCTTCTATTAGATAAAAAGTAGTCATTAGAGCTATTCAACATTACATTTAATATGTCATAAAACATTTTTAGCATTTAATAGGCTTTAACTGTTGAGGAGGAAGACAGCCTATTTATAGTTGCCTCATTAAATGTGTTTTTTTTTTCCCCAATGTTTATGTTAGTTCTTATTAACTGCCAAAATGAATGCATTATTTTTCCCAGCCCTAGTTTGTCTCATTATTTGTGTTACAAGCTGCAAAAATCATCAGGATTAAACCAACAACTACAAACAAACCTTTCATCTCTTTGGGCTTCATTTACAAAACGCAACCAGAACAAAATGAGTTATACAGTACATAAATGGTTTAACTAAAATTCACCTCATCCACCAGAGATGAATCAGATTAGATTCATCATGTTAGATGCTCTGAATTTACCACGTGTATGATGTAGTATGTAAATCTGATTGATTTATATGATAATTGTGTGTTTCATCTCATTCAGACGTCATATAAATACTACATTCATCACACTTTTTTTTCAGGAATTCAATTCTGAAGTTTTAAATGAACAGTATGTCTCTAGCGCATCTCATTTTATGCCGCAGCTGCGCGGGAGAAAACGCATAATGAGACAGAGGAGACCGTCATGGAGGATATATAGGCAGATGGCGAGGAGCTTCAAAAGCTGAACATCTGAATCTGGCTGGAAAGAGATGCATGGAATGAGAAAACAGATTTATATAATCACGCTGCTCGATTTGACAGCCAACCAGCATGAGTGAGTCGAGGTGGAAGATTCCCAGATCAGAGATGAAGACGGTATTGAAAATGTGCAGACGCTGAGAAATATCCTCGCACAGAAACGTCACAGGAATCAGAAAATAAGCCGACTGCAGAAATACAGCGACGGAGTGAATCCTGAAGATGATGAAGTCCACCGGACTCCCGACTGTATCAGTGGCTGTTGTGAAATTGGACTGTTGATTGCTTTTTTGGCAACATCAGCGATTTGCAGAGGAATATGTCAAACCCAAACCCTGAGGCGACTTTGTAAAAGTGCATTAATGGAAGAAAGAGACAAACAGTCAGGATGAAACGGGAAGAGAAATACTGACCCTCCATAAGTAATGATGCTGAAAATACAGCTGCGCATCACAGAAATACATTACAGTTTAACAGATATTTACATAGAAAACAGCTATTTTAAATTGAAATAATATTTCACAATTTTACTGTATTTTTGATCAAATAAATGCATCTTTGGTGAGCAGAAGAGAGTTTTGAACGCTGGTGTACCATTATTGTATTTGTATACCATGGTATTTCAATGGTACTGCTTCAAAGAACACCATGGTATAAAAATGGTACATGTCCAAAAAAATCCAAGCAACTATGGAAATTTTGGATGAATATCGTACTCAGATCGGTGCAATAAAAGCTGACAGCTTGCTAAAGTCAATGTGAAAGTGAACAGAATTTCATGACACGTCTCCTAGGGTGCGTTTCATATTTCAATTTCATTTCTCAAAGCACCCTGCTTGTGCATGTGGCATATGCTAGCAAAACACAAAGCATTAGATGTGTTACATCTGCTATTGTCATGTACAGTATGAAGACTCCAGCGGAGCGATGTCCTGTCAGAGGCTTTCAGATGTGTGTGTGTCGATGTGTGTGTGTGTGTGTGTGTGTGTGAGTGAGTGAGTGTGTTATCCTCACACAGGAACTTCACAGGAATCAGAAAATAAGCCGGCTACAGAAATACAGTGACATCTGAAACGGTTTCTATCCTGAAGACGATGAAGACTGCATCTGTGGCGGTTGTGAAAGTGGACTGTCGATTGCCTTTTTGGCAACATCAGCGATACGCGGAGAAATAAGCAAAATCCAAACCCTGAGGCGACTTTGTAAAAGTGCATTAATGGAAGAAAGAGACAACGAGTCAGGAAGAGGATACTGACCCTCCATGAAGTACAAGCTGGCATCGATTCTCCACACGATCTGGCCTTTGTGGGAGCCGCTCACGCCACGACTCTTATAGTCCAGAAAGTTTTCTGACAGAACCTCGTCTGTAAAAGACAAAGAAAGAGGTGATAGTAAATTACAGCCAAAGGTAGTTAGTTGTTTTCTCCTGTTCTGCCTCCATTTCAAGAGCAAACATAATACAAAGGTTGTTATACAATTATTTTATTATGTCATTACATTGTTTGGAGCATGAGAAAAAAAAAATTATTATTATTATTTTTTTATATTTTGTGGATATTTTATGCTCTGTCCTCTGTTATTAAGAGTTATTAAGAAAATGAAAAAAAAAGACACTATCAGTTTTTAGGTTACAGGCTATTTATTGGAAGAAAACTTTGTATAAAGATTTACTCAACTATGTTATGAAAGATATTACAGAATGATTTGATATACTATTTTATATAAATGGGTATTCCCATTTTATACATTGAATAATTTGCATATTAATGTGTTCTTGAGGCAACATGTAATGAAAAAAGAAGTGTAATACTATTAAAACAATATTAATATTATTAATAATAAAACAATTAATATAAATGTAAAATATAAAACAGTAATATTGTGTATTAAAATAACTGTTTTCTGTTTTAATATATTTTAAAATGTAAATATTATATGATGAAAAGCTGATGCTGATTTGCTGCTCAATTATTAATAATGGATTCTTTGATGAATAGAAAGTTCAAAAGAATAGCATTTATTTGAAACATAAATATTTTATAGCATTATGAATGTCTTTATTGTCACTTTTGATCAATTTAATTAATCTTTTCTGAATAAAAGTGTTAATTTATAATTATTACTTACCCCCAAACTTTTGTAATATATAATGATTTCCACAAAAATATTGTGCAGCACAACTGTTTTCAACATTGATAATAATCAGAAATGTTTCTCGAGCAGCAAATCAGCATATTATACTGATTTCTGAAGATCACGTGACACTGAAGACTGGAGTAATGATGCTGAAAATACAGCTGCGCATCACACAAATACATTACAGTTTAACAGATACTCACATAGAAAACAGTTATTTTAAATTGTAATGATATTTCAAATTTTTTACTGTATTTTTGATCAAATAAATGCAGCCTCGGTGAGCAGAAGAGACTTCATTCAAAAACATTTTATTAATACTGGCATTATATCAGGTATTGATCAAGCATTCAAAACCCTGGATTTAATACTGGCCAGTGAGAAACTCATATCTGTTATCATCTTCTCACCGATGAGGTACATGCCGATCCAGTCGCCGGCGTCCACCTCCTCTCTGACGTCCCAGCAGATGACCATGTCTTCTGATTGACCGATGCAGTAGAGCGAGGTGCTGGCGCTCAGGGTGGAGCGGCTCTGTAAGGACACCAGGTCCGTGTCGCTGGTGGATCGAGCCGAGCTGAAGCGTGTCTCGCTCTTACACCGCCGCCGGCTCTGGGAGCTCCGTGACGGCGAGGCCATGGCCGCCAGACCCAGAAACCTGCTCTGGTACAGGTTCTGCAGAAGAGTTACGTCAGATACTTCACAAATGCATTCTCACTATCTGAAACGAAGTGAAACTGTTTCATAAAAACGTTAAAATTCTTTCAATTTCTTCTTGTATGTATATACTGCTGCTATGTATATTTGATTTGGAACTCACATTTTAAAAATATCTAAAACTTGACACAAATTCAGAGGCAATTTCACTGCCTGGAAACCATGTCTTAGTGTTTCAAAAGCAGTAAAACTACTTTATAAAACAGATAGTTCCGGTGCTTGATTCTGATTGGCTGGGCCGCGTTCGAAGCTGTTGTAAATTACTCTACAAACACACACCTTTGTTTACGTTTGTGTGTTGCTCGGCAACCACTTTGTTGCAACCACAACTGATTCTGAGGAACTACATTGTTTGGTGGAAGAATACTGTTTTTATTAATATCATTACACTTTATTTGCTCTGTTTTATTTTGTGAAACTGTACTACGTATACGGAATAACCGTTTTATAAAAGCAATAAGCCCCGTGAAGCTGTGGTTTACAGTGAATTTATAACAGCTAAGGGGGTTATAACTCCGCTTCGCGTCGTACCTAACAACGCCTCTTAGCTGTTATAAATTCACTGTAAACCATGGCTTTTTGGGGCTTATTGCTTTATTAACATCTTCTTGGAATTCCAAATGGATTATCGTGGCACAAGTGAAAATCACTTGCAGCATTCCTTCTCATCAGTATAACATCCGCTCATTAGAGCATCCGTGCTCGTCAGGAGAGTAATGTCAACAGACACTGGCATCTTTCCTGATCTCTGGTTGTTGTTTGGATCACATCTTTCAAACTGGCATAGGATAATGTACCCAAATGCCTGATTTCGACATTATTTGTCACTTTGTCTTTGTCCCATAGAGGGTTAAAAAAAATCAAGCTGAGTTTCATATAACTTATAAAAAAATTACAAATTAAAATAATGTAAAAACATAAATTGCCATGACTTACTGATCATATACATTTTATAATAACTAAATCTCCAAATTTCTGTAATAAAACAAAATTATACACATAGTGTGAACCAGAAATTAAACATTTAAAACATTGCCACTACAAATATTTATTAATGTACATTGGAAAATGTCCCTACAAATATTTATTCAAGGTCTAAACCCATTCTGAAATGAATGCAAAATCTGCAAATAAATGTAATTTCAATGAATTTTAACCTAATTAATTAAATAATCCTTAATTAATTAAATGCAATCACCTTTGAAATTTCAACATGGGAATCTGCACGGGAAAATCTATCACCCTCAGGCAAAATTCCCAATCGCGTGGATTCCTATTGAAATGACTGGATTTTGACTGTTAAAATGCACCCGAGAATGAAATATGACCACACCTTTACTCATAAATAAACCAATTTTTCTGCTATTATCATAATAACTGGGCGAGATTTAAAAGTAAACTGCATGATAATTCCGATAAACATCATATATCAAAATGATATTACAAATAAAAAAAGTGGCCCAAAAATGTGTTATTGATATTTGCATTGTTTGTGAACATGTAACAAAGATCTATGAGTGTTAGTCAGGAAATATGGCACTTTCCAGAAGATGGACATGAAAAGATCATGCAGAGAGCTGTGAATGGAGAGGAATATGCAACAGCCAATTCTATTAGCAATTCATTACTACTTTTTAGCTGGAATGTAAATGCATATGGCTCTGTTATGATGTGTATGGTTTATTATCCAGTCAGGGTATAAATAAATCTACAGAGATGCTTTAACATCGAAGCACAATAATGAGGTTCTCATAATTTATTTTCACAGAGTTTCTGCAGGTTTTGTGAAGTCGAATTTAAGACTTTTTTTTTTAGACATTTTTAAGATCAATTAAAGAACATCGGGAACAAATTGGTACACAATACATCAATATGGTATTTAAATATGAATGATCTCCATTAGTTTTTCATTAATTGTACTAAATAAATAACATTTACTGTTCCTTCTGACCACACTGCAAAAAAGTGCTGTTCTTCCTTAGTATTTTTGTCTTGTTTTCCAGAGCAAATGTCTAAGGATTCTTAAATCAAGACACATATACTTGAGAAACAAAATGACATAAGAAGTCTTGTTTTATGAGAAATTGATCAAAATGAAGTGAATATATGATTAAAACAAGAACAAATATCTGTCAGTTAATTCCAAGGGAAAACCCATTTTCAGCTCATTGACAGATATTTGTTCCTGTTTTAATCATAAACTCACTTAATTTTGTTCATTTTCCAGAAAACAATTGAGCTGTATATTCTCAATTAGCATCTCAAGTAAATGTATCTTGCTTTAAGGATGTTTAGATAGTTGTATTAGAAAACAAAACAGAAATACTGAGAAAGATATTCATCTTTAGCAATGCATGTGGCATTTAATGCCATGAAATATCTAAAATACCTTTTTAGGCCTTAATTTGTGGAAGGGTGAATTAAGACTTTTTAAGACCTGCAGAAAGCCTGTTTACAGTGTTATGCACAAGATCATCAACCATGAGAAACAGGCCACACTCTTGACTTCTACATACAAGCCCAACATCACTCTGATCTGATGAGTTTTGATCGTCCACGTCAGTCTTCTTGTTATTTTCAATGACAGAGGCATCGACAGCATCTGTAATTGCAGGCTGAGATCAGCTCATATTCACTAGATTCCCCACTATGCCCTAAATATTTCAGCTTTATCAGGAAGGTGTGATGAAATACTACGAAACTGTCAACATATCTCTGAACGCCTGCCAAGAGCTCACACACACACACACACACACAGACCTTAAAATAGTGAAGCCTCTGGGAGCTGCTCCACGGTAAACGGAGATAGAAAGTGTCAGAGAAAGCAAGAAGACTTAAAAACAAGCCCAAAATGACACAACACTTATCTCCTCTGAGGCGCTTTCAAAGCTTTCCCTTCCCTGCTGGAAAGAACAGTGTCTTCTTTACCCTCATAACGCATTTGGGTCCATTTGACCCGGAAGAGATACATAATAAAAATAAAAAAGACCCTCAAAATACAGATCTTTTTTTTTTTTTTTAAATATATAACGATTTTAAAAAAGTTACACGTTTTGTGTTCGGGTCATTTTGGACCAGGGTGTGTATGGAGTCCCATTAGGTGTCAGCAATACTTTTTGTAAAATTATCTATGAAGCAATACAGCCTTTTTCCCAATATCGTTCACACACTTCTGGGACTGAATTTTGTTGATAAACGTGAATATGTGCGCCTATTGATGAACCATTGCAATGTGAAAAATTCCCCACTTTTTCCATCTGAAAGTGAAAGTTCATACAAGTAAAATTAATTTATTTGGTTTGAGTTTCAGAGTAATATTTATGTTGTTTTGTTAGAAATAAATATGTAGGTTTCATAAATTTGGACTGTTTTTGAGCAATCATGAGTTACAAATTCAAAGGAATTTAATTAAATTCCATTCATTCTAATGTACAGCTCTGGAAAAATAGTTTCTCTGGATTTACCAGGTATGGGTTTGAGTAAAATGTTAATATTTGTTTTATTCTATAAAGGTCTGATACATTTTCTTCCTTTCTACAATTTTATTTATTTTTATTTTTTTTGCAGAAAATGAATGAATTGGTCAAAATAACAAATGTTTTCATTCTGGGTTATTCTACCAAGTATTGATTTCTTAACTCTTCTGAAGTTACAACATTGCTACTGTGTTGTCTAAAAATGAATATAAACATGTCTGAAAACATGGCGTCTTTTTAGTTATTTTGACTAATTGTCATTTCATGCTCTAAATGACAACATGTTTATTTAAAATTTGGAAGAAATGCCATCAGTAGTTTACAGAATAAAGCAAACATTAGGCAAACACACAACTTTAAATAGCAAATCCAGAGAAATTGAGAATTTTCAAGCGGTCTCTTTTTTCCAGAGCTGTATACATTTTTCACATTTACTCATTAATGCGATGTTGCTGGTCAGATATAATATGGTTTTAGTTAAAAAAATATTAAGTTATGACTGTTTTATAAAATAACGATTCTTCAGGTCAAAACTGACCCGGAATGTGAAAATCGTATACAGATATTCAATGCATTATGAGGGTGAACTTGAGTTGAGTTGCTAAGATAAGGCTTGGCAAGAATAAACATGAACCAGCATTAAAATTATAATTTTTTCTTTCATCTCAATCCATACACATAGAAATGATTCATTAAAGTTAGGAATGATCGACAAGGTGTCTGTCAGTATTTTCACATTTACTAAACAAAATCCATGACGGAGCAATCCATAGGTTCACATAAAAGCTTTAAAGTAAGAGTTGTGGTGGTCATGATGAGTAAATGGCGGTGAAGATGATGGTGATGATGAAGGAGGAGTCACAAGCTGAGCGAATGAAGAAGAGCACTGACCTTTACACTACACAGGTGTAGCAGCATTATGATTCAGCGACTCAAAGCACATCAAACCCTGAGGAGAAGGTCAGGAGTTACTGAAACGGCATAAAACAAACCCTCTGAGCACCACTCAGTCCTTCACTCTCAGTGCTGCTACAGAGATACAACTTCAGCTCAAGATGAAATATTGTAATAACATGTAACATATTTTACAGTGATATTAATGTCAAATGCAAGAATGCAATCAAAATCAAAGCTGCATCATCAAACATGAAACTACATTAGAATCAGACACAAATACATCACTTCACACATATAACAATAAACACCCAAAGCATTATCTAGATTACAGTAGTGCACATCAGTGAAGGTCGACGGGGAGATTGCAACAGGATAAAAAGTGAACCGCTCCTTTTTCTTGTGCCCTTTCGCACATCATGCAAAAGTTACCTGGTTAATCAGGATTTACACTACCGTTCAAAAGTTTGCGTTCAGTAAGATTTGTTAACGTTTTTGAAAGAAGTATTTTCTGCTCAGCAAGGCTGCATTTATTTGATCAAAAATACAGCAAATAATATATATATAAAAAATTATATTATTACAATTTCAAATAACTGTTTTCTATGTGAATATCTGTTAAAATGTCATTTATTGTTGTGATCAAAGCTGAATTTTCAGCATCATTAACGTTTCTGATTTGTTTGAAAACAGTATTTCTTTGAAATAGACTTTGTTTGTAACATCATATTACATTATGCTAATACATAACAAACAAAAACAAAACAAAAAAAATAAACTTTTGACTGGTAGTGTATCTGCACACAAACAGTAATTTCCATGAAACACAAGCAGAACTTAGAAACATAAATTTGTTCTGGTGTTTTATGATTATTTTATGATCATACAGTATGTGATGCATTTTGAACATTCATTCCTTAATTTGTATTTAACTTTATGCAACCCACCTGCCAAAGTAATGAAGTTAAACGACAGCCTCTTTGTTTAAAGTTGCTAATAAAATCAATCATTTCAATAAACCTGATTATTTCTAACACATATAACCCTTTGAAACATGACGGTAAATCAGTGAAATCGACTAGCTGCTGCCTCTGTGATGGATGTTAATGAGCTGAATGATTATCATGTGTCATCCAGCATTCAGCTAACACTGCTATTCCCTCAATCTCAGTACTTACTGCAACTGCAGAACACATTTAATGATTGGTCGAGAAAGCATTGATCACCAAAAAATGAAAAATGGCATAAATTAGATTTCGATATCGTGTGAAACGGTGCAAATGCTCTCAATGTTAACATTACATATCCTGCGTAGCTAACCAAATATTCTCTACATGACTGAAGTGAATTACGTCCCATCTGAGATTCACAGCTGATGTATCTCCATGCTGTAATGTTGTGGACGGGTCGCTTTCATCAGCATTGATCTTTCTGATAAAACACTCATAGCAGCAATAAAGAGACTATTAGATGCCAGCAGCTGTAAGCACACACATGTGATAATGGAGAGTGTGTAAATAACACAAAATAGAAAACAAATAATATTATTATTTACGGTAACACTTTAGTATAGGGAACTCTTCTCACTATTAACTAGCTGCATGTCTATTATTAACATATTGGCTGTTTATTAGTACTTATAAAGCACATATTCTGCATGAGCATATTCTACATCCTTAATCCAACCCAATATTTAAACTTAACAACTACCCTACTAACTATTAATAAGCAGTAATTAAAAGTTGTAGTTAATAGTTAGTTAATAGTGAGAGCTGGACCTTAAAATAAAGTGTTACCTTATTTACTTGAAACCTTATGTTGTGTTTTGACCAGGAAAATATTGTATTTTTCCAGAAAATACTAGTTAATATTATCAAATTGTTAACATTATCACAACAACTCAAAAAAAAAACCCTCCCCCCAAAATTGATATGTTTTGTACGTTTTGGGGATTTTTACCCCATTCTTGT